CTGTCCAAGACTGTTGCCATCATGTCATCATGGAGTATGTTCACAAATCCTATCTATCTGTCATGCAAACTAGGGATGATGGGAATTGCAACCCAACAGCCCTTGAGACTCTGAGATTGGGGAAAGGATAAAGGATATTTTAAAGTTGGGCAACCTATCCACAAGCCTTGTGTCTCAGTTCAAATCTCACTCTCCTGACTAAACAGAACAAACCGCAGATGACTTCCAAAGTATCCCAATCAGCTTTAGTCATGATGTCCAAATGACAAGGAATACAGGATCCATAGTCTGGCATCTGGAAAAGGGCAACATAACATGACCTGTTGGGCCAGATTCGGCTTTGACATATGCGACCTATGGGGATTTCATGGGGTTTTCTTAGGCAAGGAAGACTCAGAGGTGTTTTTGCTTTGAAATAGACCCGACAGACCCTTGGTTGTCTTTGGTGGTCTCCCATCCAAGCACTAACCAGGGGCAACCCTGCTTAGCATCCAGAATGAGACAGCATCTYGTGCCTTTAGGCCAGTGTTTCTCAACATTCCTAATGCCACGACCCCTTAATACGCTTCCTCGTGTTGTGGTGACCCCCAACCATAAAATTAGTTTCATTGCTACTTCATAACTGTCATTTTGCTACTGTTATGAATAGTAATGTAAATATCTGATATGCAGGGTGTATTTTCATTCACTGGACCAKATTTGGCACAAAGACCCAATACARCCAAATTTAAGTACTGGTGGGATTGGGGGKGTGTATTGATTTTGTCCTGTGGGAGTTGTAGTTMCTGGGATTTATAGTTAACCTACAATCGAAGAGRGTTCTGAATGCCACCAACGATGGAARTGAACCAAACTTGGCACACAGAACTCCCACGACCAAGAGAAAATACTGGAAGGGTTTGGTGGGCACTGACTTTGAGTTTTGGGAGTTGTAGTTCACCTACATCCAGAGAGTACTGTGGACTCAAACAATGATGGATCTGGGCCAAACTTAGCACGAATTCACAATATGCCCAAATGGGGTTTGGGGAAAATAGACCTTGACATTTGGGAGTTATAATTGCTGGGATTTATAGTTCACCTACAATCAAAGAGCATTCTGAACCCTGCCAACGATTGAATGGGGCCAAACTTCCCACACAGAACCTCCATGACCAACAGAAAATACTGTGTTTTCTTGTGGTCTTTGGTGACCCCTCTGACACCCCCTTGCGACCCCTCCAGGGGTCCCGATCCCCAGGTTGAGAAACACTGCTTTAGGCTATTATTCAGGCATTGTGTGCATGCGCCTTCAAACCACAACTCCATGGGTCACGTAGCAACGAAAGGGGTGTCCAAATGTGTTTTAACCTGTACCCCCATGTTCCCCAAGGGAAGTCGTTCTTTACAGCCTGCAATCCTGGGCTAGTAACATTCGCCGCTATTACTGTAAGCGTTGCAATATTCCTGAGATAATGTATGTGAAGTGCTTGGAGCAGTTGGAAACAGCCTTAAATATTAGCATTGCTATGATTAAAAATAATTTCTGGAATTGGATTTTAATGGCCTTTTAATGGAGTCATTTTACACGCATTTTCTAACTTCGCCGTCGCCAGTTTTCTCTCTCCCTTTTCTGTTTCTGTGCTTTCCAAACTTTGGAGCCTATGGCTTGGCCAGACATGTGTGCATTCGTTTGTGTGCACTTTGGTGCAAAAGGATATTCTGCACCATCGCTAGCCTGTGCTTGTTGTCCCTTGGAGTTGTAGTTTTGCAAGGTCTTGAGCCTTTTCTACCAAACACCAGTAATGTTTCTCTAAACTACAAGTCTCAGGATTGCATAGCAAGGAGATATGGCTGTTCTAATGTTTGTTTGTTTTTTGTCGTGCCAGGAGTGACTGCAAGTCGCTCCTTGTGTGAGAAAATTGGCCGTCTGCAAAGACGTTGCCCAGGGGACGCCTGGATGATTTGATGTTTTTATCATCCTTGTGGGAGGCTTCTCTCATGTCCCCGCATGAGGAGCTGGAGCTGATAGAGGGAGCTCATCCGCCTCTCCACGGATTCGAACCTGTGACCTGTCGGTCTTCAGTCCTGCTGGCACAGGGGTTTAACCCACTGTGCCACCGGTGCTAATGGTGTTATTTATTTATTGTGTCAGAAGCAAACCGAGGGTACATTTGTAATGTATTTAAAAACACAAAGTTTTAAAGCTTTACTAAATGTCTTTTGACCAATAGCTGGCCACTTGGAGTGCCTCTGGTGTTGCTATAAGAAAGTCCTCCATTGTGCATGTGGCAGGGCTCAGGTTGCATTGTAGTAGGTGGTCAGTGGTTTGCTCTTCTCCACACTCGCATGTCGTGGATTCCACTTTGTGGCCCTATTTCTGAAGGTTGGCTCTGCATCTCGTGGTGCCAGAGCACAGTCTGTTCAGCGCCTTCCAAGTCGCCCAGTCTTCTGTGTGCCCAGAGGGGAGTCTCTCATTTGGTATCAGCCATTGGTTGAGGTTCTGGGTTTGAGCCTGCCCCTTTTGGACTCTCGCTTGCTGAGGTGTTCCAGCGAGTGTCTCTGTAGATCTTAGAAAACTATTTCTTGATTTAAGTCGTTGACGTGCTGGCTGATACCCAAACGGGGATGAGCTGGAGATGTCTCTGCTAAGCAGTGTAATTTCTCCAGTGGTGTAGGGCGCAGACACTCCGTGATAATGCGGCATGTCTCATTCAGAGCCACATCCACTGTTTTAGCGTGGTGAGATGTGTTCCACACTGGGCATGCATACTCAGCAGCAGAGTAGCATAGCGCAAGGGCAGATGTCTTCACTGTGTCTGGTTGTGATCCCCAGGTTGTGCCAGTCAGCTTTCATATGATATTGTTTCTAGCACCCACTTTTTGCTTGATGTTCAGGCAGTGCTTCTTGTAAGTCAGAACACGGTCCAGGGTAACTCCAGGTATGTGGGTGTGCTGCAATGCTCCAGTGGGATTTCTTCCCAGGTAATTCTCAGAGCTTGAGATGCTTGTCTTTTCTTAAGGTGAAAAGCACATGTCTGTGTTTTAGATGGATTAGGGATCAGCTGGTTTTCCCTGTAATAGGCAGTAAGAGCACCTAGAGCTTCTGAGAGCTTCTGTCCAACCATCTCAAAGCTCCCTGCTTGAGCGGTGATGGCACGATCATCAGCATAGATGAAGCTCTCTGTCCCTTCTGGCAGTGGCTGGTCATTTGTGTAGATGTTGAACATGGATGGAGCAAGCACGCTCCCCTGAGGCAGGCCGTTCTTCTGTTTCCGCCATCTGCTTCTCTGGCCCTGGAACTCAACAAAAAGCTCCTGTTTTGTAGCAGGTTTCCTATGAGGCGGGTGAGGGGATCGTCCTTTGTGATATTATACATTTTTCTCAGGAGGAGGCGGTGGTTTACAATATCATAAGCCGGTGACAGGTCTATGAAGACAGCTCCTGTGATCTGCTGCCTTTCAAAGCCATCTTCTATGTGCTGAGTCAGGTTCAGCACTTGCGATGTGCAGCTTTTGCCTTTCCTGAAGCCAGCTTGCTGTGGAATCAGACATGGGTCTATTTTTTCCATAATTCTATTCAAAATAAGTCTCTCCAGAGCATGGATGGAGCAAGCACGCTCCCCTGAGGCAGGCCGTTCTTCTGTTTCCGCCATCTGCTTCTCTGGCCCTGGAACTCAACAAAAAAGCTCCTGTTTTGTAGCAGTTTTCCTATGAGGCGGGTGAGGTGGTCGTCCTTTGTGATATTATACATTTTTCTCAGGAGGAGGGGGTGGTTCACATATCATAGGCTGCTGACGGGTCTATGAAGACAGCTCCTGTGATCTGCTGCCTTTCAAAGCCATCTTCTATGTGCTGAGTCAGGTTCAGCACTTGCGATGTGCAGCTTTTGCCTTTCCTGAAGCCAGCTTGCTGTGGATCAGACATGGGTCTATTTTTTCCATAATTCTATGCAGAATAAGTCTCTCCAGAACTTTGTAGAGGTGGCACAGCAGGGAGATTGGTCTGTAGCTTTTTGGATCATTATGGTCTTTGCCTGGCTTCAAGATGACAATGACTCTTGCTTTCCTCCAGATTTTGGGGATCTGACAGGATGCAGTGCAGTTGTTCATCAGCTCCAGTAGCCAGCACTTTGCTTTTGGGCCAAAGTTCTTGATTTGTTCCATCCGTAAATACTCTATGTATCTATATACCAAGCATGGGCAAACTTCGGCCCTCCAGGTGTTTTGGATTCCAACTCCCACAATTCCTAACAGCCGGTAGGCTGTTAGGAATTGTGGGAGTTGGAGTCCAAAACACCTGGAGGGCCCAAGTTGGCCCATGCCCGTCCTAGGAGATTCTTGGGGTCTCCTGGGGTCAACTCTTTCCTCTGTCCTTGCGGAGGTCACACTTCCTTAACCTGCCTCCCGGGAGGGTAAATAAGATAAGAAGACTTAGGCTTGAGTCCTTGTCTCTGCAAGGGGTGGGTGGCTAAACGCCGGGGAATAATCGGAAGGGAGTGACAGATTCTCTTGCCGTTTTTTCCTCCAAAGCTTAACATTGCTGTTGCCGCAAACTCCAGTCCGTTTCGGGACATCCAGATCCAACGCCAGGCTGGTTAAAGTGGTGCCAAACTGCATTCCTTCTCCAAGAGTCTGCGGAGAAAGGAGCGAGAAGGGGGGCGAAAGTGAGACCAAGCCAAAGCCATCTGTCCCTTGGCTAATTATCCTTAATGACGATCTCTGGCCTCCAAACAGGAAGACCGCGCAGGAAATAGTGCGTTTCCTTTGGGAAGTCTGGGGCCAGGATTTGAGTAATGGGGGAGAATGAGAAGCACTGGTAGAGCAATGCGTTTGAATGCCAGGAAAATATTTAGGATGGTCAGAGCTGTTGCTTCATGATGTGGACGAACCTCCTTCTCTGGATGGCCATCCGTCGGGAGGGCTTTAATGGTGGTCAACCAAGATTGGGCTGGGATTCTTAAGGCTTCTCTTTCTCCTTCCTCTTCATTGCTTTCGTAACCCTTTCTCTCCTTTTTTCCAGGATGAAACGTCGGTGAGCAGCGAGGATTTTGATATGAGCGACTCCACATGGATGTCAGCTGACCAGCATCTCAACTCCAGTTTGAGCCCCAGCCAGGCGGAAGGCATGCGCAGCCCGCAGAACATCCACAGCCAGGAAGACGGTGAGCATCATTTGGGAGGGGGACACTATACCTTAAAGCAGGCACGGGCCAACTTCGGCCCTCCGGGTGTTTTGGACTCCAACTCCCACAATTCCTAACAGCCTGGAACTCAACAAAAAAGCTTCTGTTTTGTAGCAGGTTTCCTATGAAGTTTTCCTATGAGGTTTCCTATGAGAGCTCGGGAAGCTTGAATTGTGGGAGTTGGAGTCCAAAACACCCGGAGGGCCAAAGTTGGCCCATAGCTGCAACTACACCACGCAACAAAGTAAAAGTCCAATCACATACCACTACACAATGTTTTTGTTCCTGGGTTATAAACGTCATTTCCTAATTGGTTCTATCATCAAAACATGGGAAACGTTTATTAAACTGCCAAAACTTTGTTTCTGCGGGAGGGACGTCATCCTGCAGTCCATTTGGCTCTAGTTTTGCAATGAATTATCTCATAGAGTCTCAACTGATTCAACATACTTGGTGGCACAAAAGCAAAGTTTGTGGAGTAGACTCTCAAAGTCAGTACTGAAATAACACTTTCAAACCAGGAACAGATTGGTTTGTTATAGGTTTTTTCAGGCTATATGGCCATGGTCTAGAGGCATTCTCTCCTGACGTTTTGCCTGCATCTATGGCAAGCATCCTTAGAGGTAGTGAGGTCTGTTGGAACTAGACCTCACAACCTCTGAGGATGCTTGCCATAGATGCAGGCGAAACGTCAGGAGAGAATGCCTCTAGACCAGGGGTAGGGAACCTTTGGCCCTCCAGCTGTGGTGGACTTCAACTCCCACAATTCCTTGAGGCTCGGCATTGGGCCAAGGTAAGCCTTTGGGGCGAATGCCGAGCCTCAAGGAATTGTGGGAGTTGAAGTCCACCACAGCTGGAGGGCCAAAGGTTCCCTACCCCTGCTCTAGACCATGGCCATATAGCCCGAAAAAGCCTACAACAACCCAGTGATTCCGGCCATGAAAGCCTTCGACAATACAGGAACAGATTTTTTTGTTTTTGTTGTTGTTGTTGTTGTTGGTATATGAAACACAACAAGATGAGTCCACAGCAGACACTCTGCTGGCTGTTGTATTGGATCACACGTCGGACACTTCCCAAGAGTCTAGGACTGTGTGATGTATCAGTGAATAATATGTGCAGATTCCAGTAAGGTGGCCTTCTGCAGCTGGCAGATGGTAATTTTGTCAGCGCCGATTGTGTTTAAGTGCAGGCCAAGGTCTTTAGGCACTGTACCCAGTGTGCCGATCATCACTGGGACCACCTTGATGATGATGATGATGATGATGATGATGATTACTATTACATCGGTCTTGCCTGGGTGTTGCAGGAGCTGCTTCCCCTACTTTCATCCCTTCTTTCCCTCCCTTCATACCTTTTCCCTTTTACTTTCCCTGCCCTTCCTTCCTTCCTTCTTTCTTTTTCTCTTTCTCTCTTTCTCTCTCTCTCTTTTTCTCTCTTTCCCCCTCCCTCCCTCCCTTCCTTTCATCCCTTCCTTTTTTTCTCTCCTTGTTTTTTCCTTCCCCTCCACTTTCACTCCTCTCCCGCTCTGAGAGGGCCTTCCTTCCTTCCTTCCTTCCTTCCTTCCTTCCTTCCTTCCTTCTTTCCTTTCTTCCTTCTGTCCGTTCCTTCCTCTCTCTGTTCTCTTTCCTTCCCCTCCACTTTCTCCCTTTGCAGCTCTGAGAAGGCCCACATCTCAATGTCTTCATGGCAACATGGCTCCCTTCCCTGCTTGCTTGCTTGCTTGCTTTCTTCTTTCTTCTTCCTTCCTGCCCTCTTCCTTCCTTCTTTCCCTCCTTTTTCCCTCCTTCTTTTCTTCCTCCTCCTTCCTTCCTTCCCCCTCTTCCTTCCTCCCTCCCTCCCTCCCTCCCTCCCCCCTCCCTCCTTCTTTTCTTTCTTCTTTTCTTCCTTCCTCCTCCTCCCTGCTCTTCTTTTTCCTTCTTTCCTTCATTCTTTCCCCTTCCTCCTCCCTCCCTCCCCTGCTCCCTCCCTTCTTTTCTTCTCTTTTTTCCTTCCTTCTTCACTTCCTTCCTTCCTTCCTCCTTCTTCCTTCCTTCCTTCCTTCTTCCCCTTCTCCTTCTTTCTTCCTTTCTTTCTTTTTGTCCTTCTTTTTCCTTCTATTTCTTTTTTCCTTCTTTTCTTCCTGCCTGCCTGCCTTCTTCCTCCCTCCCTCCCTCTCATACACATACCACAATCCTTTTCCAGTGACATCACAGAGGGCCACTCTACCTAGCAAACAGCCTTTGTGGTACACACCAATAAACATACATACATATTTTAACCTGTATGTATGGAGACCCATATCCCATTTTTACCTCTTGAACACACGAGAAGAGGGAGCTCTTTGCAAGTAGAAAGCTAGTCCTGTAGAAAAGAAGATCCATGTAGCTTGTTTCCTGATAAGCCGACTTTCTACTTGCAGGTATCTTTTTTGCAAGGTACCTTTAGCAGAATGTTTAAAGTGTGTTCCCCCTCACTTGCATCCTGAAGTGGCTTGATGTACATCCCCAATGCAATGACAATTTCCATAGGCTAAAGCGGACTCGATGGGGTGAGTGGTGGGTGTGAATCCTTCCTTCACAGAAGGGAGTTCAGATAACAGGATGGGTCAAAGTCAAGCTGCATGGGTCAGAGATCTCCTTGGTGGCATTTGGGCAGAGCTGGTGGACCGAACCTTCACCCAGGCTTTGTCCGGAGTGCCTGAATCCCGCATTGTCCCGTGGCTGGCGGGGCCCGAGAGGAAATCTAGGGAAGTCATGCTCCCCATGCTCTATTCTGCTTTGGTTAGACCACACCTGGAATATTGTGTCCAATTCTGGGCACCACAATTCAAGAGAGATATTGACAAGCTGGAATGTGTCCAGAGGAGGGCGGCTAGGGTCTGGGTCTGGAGAACAAGACCTATGAGGAGCGGCTTAAGGAGCTGGGCATGTTTAGCCTGAAGAAGAGGAGGCTGAGAGGAGATATGATAGCTGTGTATAAATATGTGAGAGGAAACCACAGGAAGGAGGAGGGAGCAAGCTTGTTTTCTGCTTCCTTGGAGACTAGGACGCGGAACAATGGCTTCAAACTACAAGAGAGGAGATTCCATCTGAACATGAGGAAGAAATTCCTGACTGTGAGAGCCGTTCAGCAGTGGAACTCTCTGCCCCGAAGTGTGGTGGAGGCTCCTTCTTTGGAAGCTTTGAAACAGAGGCTGGATGGCCATCTTTCAGGGGTGATTTGAATGCAATATTCCTGCTTCTTGGCAGAATGGGGTTGGACTGGATGGCCCATGAGGTCTCTTCCAACTCTTTGATTCTATGAAATGCCTGCCCCCCTCCCCTTTAGGCGCATTTGGAGGCTGGCTGCTTGGAGAGGCGAGCGAGTGAGTGAGGGGGTGCAAAGGGACAAAAATACCTCCCTCTGTGGAAGGCAAGAAAGGCCCATTGTCCTCCAAGCACCACATCGCCCAGAAGAGGAGGAGAAAGGGAGAAGAGGCCCTCCTTAATTCCCTTTGCCTTTCTGGGACAGAAAATAAAAAGCCATGCAGAGATATAGAATACTTACTTACTTACTTAGGTGATCCTTCGTAGCTCGTGGTGTCTTGGTGGTGGGTCCGTAGGTGGCTGTGGAGCCCCATTCTTGACCTGCATGTTCTCCTACAGTGAGGGCATTGGTTTCCAGGTGGAAGGTCGTCCCAGTCAGGGTTGGCTTGATGCACCTTCCTCTTGGCACGTTTCTCTCTTCGTCCTCCATTCGTGCCTCTTCAAATTCTGCAGCACTGCTGGTCACAGCTGACCTCCAGCTAGAGCGCTTGAAGGCCAGGGCTTCCCAGTTCTCAGTGTCTATGCCAGAGTTTTTAAGGTTGGCTTTGAGCCCATCTTTAAATCTCTTTTTCTGCCCACCAACATTCCATTTTCTGTTCTTGAGTTCGGAGTAGAGCAACTGCTTTGGGAGACGGCGATTGGGCATTCAGACAACATGGCCAGTCCAGCGGAGTTGATGGCGGAGGACCATTGCTTCAATGCTGGTGGTCTTTGCTTCTTCCAGCACACTGACGTTTGTCCGCCTGTCTTCCCAAGAGATTTGCAGAATTTTTCAGAGGCAGCGCTGATGGAATCGTTCCGGGAGTTAAACATAACGTCTGTAGATAGTGCTCGTTTCGCAGGCGTATAGCAGGGTTGGGAGGACACGGGCTTTATAAACAAGCAGCTTGGAGACCTGGAAACGGCCTGTGCAAAAGGTGATGCAGCTGGTTAAGAAACCAGTGCAATTCTAGGCTACATCCGTCCGAGGACTGTGTTTAGACCAGGCATGGGCCAACTTGGGCCTTCCCTCCAAGGTGTTTTGGGACTTCAACTCCCACAATTTGTAACAGCTGTGGGAGTTGAAGTCCAAAACACCTGGAGAGAAGGCCCGATCTGGCCCATGCCTGAGAGGCAGACTAAGGAACAATGTGCATGGCGTCTTGACCATTGCCAAATCAGTGATAGATTTGCCCTGGAGGACCCAGGGAGGGCTGGTACAAGGAGGCGCCTTTCACGTTTGGAGGGCAGACCCAGAACAGGGCCACTTTGTCCTCCCGGCCAGTCGGCTCCAGCCACATCGCAGCCGCAACGGCCGGCCGGCTTCTCCTCCTCCCCAAAGAGCCCATGGACCTCCATGCGGAGGGAGCAACAAGGTCTTGAACGGCCGGGAAACAAGGTAACATCAGAGGAGACGTTCGCTGGACATCCACGGTCTGGGTTCTTTGTTTTGTGTGTGTTAGGTGAGGCAGGAAAAAATAAGAAAGGAGCAGATATGGGATGAGAACAGAATTTGTTTTTTCAACTCAGGAGCAACTTGAGAAACTGCAAGTTGCTTCTGGTGTGAGAGAATTGGCCATCTGCAAGGACGTTGCCCAAGGGATGCCCAGGTATTTTGATGTTTTACCATCCTCGTGGGAGGCTTCTCTCATGTTGATGCATGGGGGGCTGGAGCTGACAGAGGGAGCTCATCCGACACTCTCCCCAGATTCG